AAGCGAATCCCCTGTCAACGGGAAATAAAACCAAGGTCTATTGCGGAAAAGTATCTTTCACGTGTGCTGCGGTGAACTGTTTCTGATATTCAAATGTTGAAATGATCAGACAAAACAGAGTTTTAACAGATGCAGGTTTACAAAACGACTGACAGTGATAAAGCAGTAAAGCATCAATAGCCAAATTGAATGAACTGTTCAGGATGTGAACTTGTAGCGAGTCATGAAGAAGGGGTTCATTTTAACTTTAATAAGTTTATGAGTCAGTTTAACAGCAATGCACAGTTTTTAAAGTTAGCCTCAAAGGAGGTACAGGTTCATTGCCGATTTGAATAACAGGCGTTTGTACTTCCGTTCCATGGTTGGAGGCGTGAGTTCTGAGAGGCGATGAGTATTCTTGATTTGAAGAAGCACATTGGCGGCACATCAGGATAGCAATTCTTAAATTAAAATCTATGAATAAAATATTTCATGAGAGTCACGGATATTTTTTTGTCGTCTTGAACACGTCTGCAGCACACAGTAATGCAATTCATAAGTATCCGCTGAAAAATTATTCTTGAAAATGAACCATGCACGGTTACATATTTCTGATATTTAATCGGCGTAATGACGGTTACATGGCAGCCGACAGAACGAATGACCCCGTTCTGCTACAGACCTACCAGATTAAGGAAAAAAGCTTATAAACAAACTGGCAGAGAATAGGATACTTAATTCAGCCCTTATCTTTCCTTTGCGAGAATCGAAAGGGGTCGTTCAACAGCAAAGAGGAGAGACAAATGTCCTTTAATAGTTGAACATTTATTTCTATGATGCAATGGCTTTTTAGCAAGTTTGTAAAATTGCGGACACTGAATTAACTACCTAGAGAAATTCTCCTTACACTAACAGCTCGAGGTAATGATGTTAACAAAGACAACATGCAGAAATACGCATTTAATACAAAGTTGTGAGCAATATAACTGCACTAAGTACATATATGAAAAGTTAAGTGGTTGTACATAGTATAATGAAAAACATTATTGCAAAAGAATGCGTTAAACAGTGAGCGATTTGCGAAAATGGAAAGTTTTGTTGAATCGACTATCAAGGAATATCATCGTATCAGGCAATGCGGTCAGTCTGAAGTATTGAAAACCGACTTAAATTTTTCGAAAATGCCTACATCTAGCATAGGCTTAATCACCACGCATGTTTCACACAACTGTAAGGAAGTGAACTAACAATAGTACATGCATATCTCCATACGCTTGCAGAATATGGTACCCGGCTTGTAGCCGGTCGTTCAAAAAAGAGTGTACCTGAACATCTTAATTACAGTAAATGTTCTACACTACCTGTTGGAACTAGTTTACTGTTTTTGGTTTGCCTGTTTGTACGGTGTTGTCATTTTTCCAGTTATAATATTTTAGATTGGAAAATTCTAAAAAATTTGTTTATTTAGATTCATTTTGCGAAACTGATAATTTTTACGTCGAATTCAATATTTTGTAATTTTGTGGCATTTTATAAACTCATTTTTACCCTGTATTTATTTTGTTAATTGTAATAATGCACTTATTTAAAACAGCTACTCATAAAGAAGAACATACATTTTTTGAAATTTAGGATGTTTCCTTTGAGATTGAGAAAATGTCTTTACGATCTTCATGACCTTACTGTGAAGGCGATGCTGCGGTACTGTTTAAGGCGCGGATAAATTGTAAAGTAGCACTTTAAGCAGTTTTAATTTAAAATGACTATGTGACTAAAATCATGCTGTCGGAAGAGTTTCTGCTGGCGTTGTTAATAAATACTCATTGGTTTACTATTATTAAATGATTTCGTGAACTTTTGGCTGTTCTACGGTTTGGCTCTTTTACACTGCGGTACAACGTTAAGAGGTGGTGTAAAATCGGCTTCGAACTGCAGAAGTACCTGGTTCGAATCTCGAAAAAAGAAAAAATTCTCATGATGATTAATTTCTTTGAAGAAGGAATGTACTGCAACTCGTTTCGGTGCAACCGGCCAAGAAACGGGTAGTGGAACGTTGACTTGCGAACATCAGGGACAGCTTAGTTTTCTGGTGTGGTCAGCACACAACTGGCAACAGATATTCGGGATCTTTAGCTGAAAGGCAGGTAGATTGTGTCTATCATAACAATAAGATTTGAACTGGAACTTGAAGATATGACCATGCTGTTCCATGCAGGCGCCTGTTAGGGCTGTGGTTGTTCTTGATTCAGTGTGATAATCAGCACAGAGTGCAACCCGTGATACTGATGTCACCGACGCAAGGTTTAGGTTCGTATTGACGTTCATCTGTTACGGACATGAAGCAGTTTTCAGATATG